GCACAAAAACTGACCTCTTTTTCCGTGTCACCACTTGGAGACTCTCCGAACTGTCCACACTCGGAACAATACGAATAGAATGAGCAAGATCGTAGAGAGGTTCTTAGTAACCCACTCGTGAATCGCTGTGAAATCTAGCATTTTCAACAGTATAACAACTAAAAGTTCAACAATCTCTCAATAAAAGCTCATTGTTCAACGAGACCAGCCTAGTTAAGTCTTTATACGGCAACTAAAAGGGGTATTTCCCGACTAACGAAAATACTCAAACAGTGCGGTGATACATATCCACCGAACTAATGCAACCGAGGTGCTACGACCGAGGTACTCGGATGCCACAGGAAGGCTCGCAAAGGCACCAACCAGCAGGTAGCTGCATCAATAGCTGATGAAAATCCGAGGATAGGCAAAGTTCTTTTGAATAGCGTGAGACTAGATACAATACGGCTATACCAGAGCTGATTATATGATAGTGTTGTAGCGCAAATGGTTACACAAAGAGCTCATTCATCCCAAGAGAAGGTTTGATGGTGATGCAGACCTAGATTACAGAGCTCCTTGGATGGATTCGTCTGATGAGAGCTTCCAACTAGAGCCACAACAAACCATCGCTGAACCATGACTGAATACAAGGGGACAGACTCGACACAAAACGGTAGACAGTATTCCATGAGGGAACAGTGTCCATGGGCACAGACGCTACTAAATTGGCTGATAGGTTTAGATAGGGCGTAGGGAGTCTCGCAGTAGCGAACTGATGCTCAGGAGAAGCAAGAGCGATATCAAGCGGATGAAAATGCGATGGATTTCTTAGGAATTACCTATCCCGAAATAGAGATAACTATGTATAGGAGCATTAGAGTGCACAGTGATAGTGATAACATCACGCTTGCAAATGACTCAATGAGGAGAGGCTCCGACAAGGGTAGCTTAACATCGGACAACTCGGGTTCAATCCTAGGCAAGTATATATTCTCACTCATTGCTCTTTATTCATACAGCATTCAACTGTTTCTCAGTACAGCCGACTCAGTGCAGTCACACGACATCCGTGGTGCAAGGTGGGGTTCCTGACCAGCAGGTTCATACTATGGGGAATGGCGGTCGATGGTAAGAGCGTTCAGAACCTTATCGTTTCTATTGTGAATCGCCAAATTTTTGGGAGAAATAGTTTTCCAAAATTGATAAGGCACATATGTCCACGAGCTCGCACTGAGATCACCATGCGAGCATCGAAGCAGACAACTACTAAGCCAGCACCTGAAGCCCAATTTCATCAATTTTGACGAGTACTATGATCTGGATGAGCAGTCGAAACGAGTCGATCTGTACGTAGCCGTTGTGCTAAATATGTTGGGAATCTTCAACGGGCACTCAAGGAAAGTACACTGAATTACTCGAGTTGTTTACGTTGTTCACATACACAAATCTTGCAGCTTAGCACATCGATTATTATGACGCGCGAGATCAACGCCACAGTTTCACTAATACCTCGGCTGTTCGAAGACTGATCTGTTACAACAACTGCTTCGGGACTTGCCTACTGGTTCGCTTATGCCTATGATGAGATAACTCGCTGTATCTAGAGGAGTCACTCGAACAGAGCGTCTCCCTGTGGGGACAACTAAGTCCAGCAGCAGGTAAATCTGAGGCTACCCAAATATTGCCCAAAACTCGTGTAGTCGTGGAATAGAGGGAAGAGTGGTATGAAATACAATATATCTACAGAACGCTATGAATAGGCCTTCCTATCGTAGAAAGTAGCAGTAGTGTGGTAGGCATTACTATACATGTAAATTGGAAGTATTTTGCAGTGCTTTTTGAAGGTCACCATTGAAAAGGTATGGGAGAATCGTCCACTTATCGAGCTTCTGAAATTGCAACTCACAATGTTGAGTCCGACTGTTGGCTTATCATTGCTGATAAGATCTATGACGTAACCAATTTTCTTGCGGACCATCCGGGCGGGCCAAAAGCCATTTTACCGCATTGTGGCAAAGACGTTACTGAGAGGTTCGATCTGCTCCATGATCGACGAGGAATACGAAAATGTGCCCCCGATGCAGAAATAGGAATATTACACCCGTAAGAGAAACCTCAGAAATTCTCTTTTTCACTAATGACCATTTTCATTTTTCTTTAGTTATTGTTAGACTATTGGAATGGAAAAAATTTTTATTAAAGTCTTTATATTTTTCATTAAAAATATGAAGACTTTTTGAAGATTCACCCGGTTAACGTGAAGTGGCGTAATACTCCCTGAAAATTATAGGACGTATATGTTTCCGCGACCGATAACACAATTGTATCCACGAAATGCTTCTCACTAGTGTTTTCATATCACGGTTGAATCGCAATTGAATACCGCACTGATCTCTTCTTCTTGCAACAACATGTGGGCTTTGTGTGTTCTGTCCCTCTCTTTTATGAGCTTTGTTTTCTGTTCCCTCAGAGCTG